AGCAACTTGCCCCCACAGTCCGTGTCCTCATTTCACCCATCTCGGAAGGATGGAAGGCTGAGCCGACCTTGAGCCGGTGAGATTTCAACCGCTGAACTGCAGATCACAGTCAGCTAAAGTGGCCTGCAGTACTGCACCCTAACCACCGCGCCACCTCGGCTCTAACCTCAGCAACTAACACAGTTGTTAAGTGAATCTAGCTTCCCTATTGAACTTGCTTCTATCTCAAAAAGTGATTATATGACCCCAGGACACTGCAACTATCATAAATACGTGACAGTTGCCAAGTTTTCTAATTTTGATCACGTGACCATGGGGTTACTGCAACGGTATAAGCATGAAAATCGGTCATAAGTCACTTTTTCAGTGCTTTTGTAAGTTTGAATAGTCACTAAACAAATTGTTGCAAGTCATATGCAATGCATAATCAGATTTCATTTGCAACCTAAGTATATCTGTGTTCATACTATGCTGCATAATAAGACCAATTAAAAAAAATTACTCTAAATGCTCTCAAAGTAAGAACTGTTTGGATTTCATCAGATTAAAAGGAAATTGTGTATATGTTTCTACTTGAATTCTGCCCCCTCTTTTTTTTTTCAAAAGATGGTTGAAGACATTCCACATTTATCTTGAAACCTGTAAAACTTGAAATGCAAGTATCATGGTGCAAAAATCTCTGCCCATCCCTTAGTTTACATTAGGACTGTTTAATAAATAAATGAAACACACATTCTCTGCTCATATTCTTTATTTATACTGGGTGCAACACACTCTCACTTACTGCAAGGGCAGGCGTCCTTTCTCTTTCGACATATGTGAAAGTTCAGGAATCAGGGTGAGGCAGAATATTTTGTAATTGAGAAAATGTCAAAAGATCATTGTTGTGCTGAAAAGTCAGATATTTATGATTTAGAAATACATTGATTCAGTCCCTGAATGAGCCAACCTCATGGCATTAAGAAAGGTTTGACTTTTTTTTCTCAAACCAGTATAGAAACATTATGTGAAAATGCTCTGTCTAAAAGAGCACTGGTGGTGCAATGCTTAGAAACAGTATTGCAGGCTAACTCTGCCCACAGCCTGGAGTTTGATCCTGAAGGACTCAAAGTTGACTCAGCCTTCCATCCTTCCGACTTCAGTAACATGAGGATCCAGACTGTTGGGGACAACATGCTGACTCTCTAGTCTAAACCACTCAGAGCGCGCTGTAAAGCACTATTGGGCGGTATATAAGTTTAAGTGCTATTGCTAAATTTGCATTGAATTATTTTGTTGTAAAAATCAAATACCCATGCTTCACATTTACAGGAAGAAATGAAAAAATCGGGCAATATAGGATGATAAAAAATTAATCTTAAGAGTTTAATGATACATAAAATTCCAATCATGAAACTTAGAGAACATAAATATAAAATTGTTTCTTACAAACAGTAAGTTTCTGTACAATTGGCTTATGTACCAAACAATTTGGTAATGCAAAACCATCCAACATTTCGCTTCTGGTAGCAGTCAGCTTGATGTCTTCTGGAAGCTTGCAAATAGTTTCCCTATTATTTACAGTATGTTTATCCCACCTCCAGTAAGCAAAGATGAGGCAAACTCAGTTAAAGTACTTTCTGACCAGGATGACAGGGGTTTCAATCAGACGTTTTTTTAGTTATGGTCAAAGATGACAGTTAAAAATAGAAATCATATTTCAACAGATGATTTAAAAGAAAAAACCAACACCAAATAATAGAAGAAATTTTCCAGCAAATTATTCCTTTTTGGAAATGATAGCTGTAACTTCCTTTCTTACATATTGACAATCCAATAATTAATTGATTATCAGCCTTCAAGCAACTAAAAGATAGATTCACTATTCTTAATCTCTGACTTTCTCTGAATATAGCAATGATTTTATTAAATTATTTCAAAGACCTGTATAAAAGTGACTCAAAGTAGAATGTGGTCTATCCTTTTTATTTCCTGCAATTTACATGGGCATATTAGTTTTTGGAATACTGTAACAATTAGATTACTGCAACTTTGTCCACAAAGGACCTTTAAGGACCAGACTGAAGGCCCAGTTTGTGCAAAATGCAGGGACCTCAGTGCTCATGGGTGTTTAGGGGTACTTGTTACACCTTTCTTGAAGGCTTTGCACTGGCCTCTTATCAGTTTTGGCTTGTAATTTAAAGTAGTCTTAATTAATTAAAAAAACAGTTTCAACTTTGAATGGTTGTATCATCACAATGAGTTACAACCACAATTTTGGGCACAATTACAGTTGTAAGTTGGTGGGCACATTGGCAGCAGAAGTGAGAAGACATTAGGAAGATGGGGAGGGTACATATTAAGTGATTGTTAGATAACACTTCCCATCCAGTGTGGTAGCGTGGTTACAGAGTTGGACTAGCAATGAGAAGGTCATTAGGTGACTTTAAGCCAGCCCAAATCCCAAGGTAATGGTTGTAGGGGAAACAGAAAGGAGTCTATGTAAGTCACATTGAGTTCCAGTACAAAATGTGGGATAAAAATGAAACAAACAGACGAGCAGCTGGATGGATCCTTTTGATTTTTGGAAACCATCTGGCAATGATGGAAGAGATCCATTGTCTGTCTCACCATTAGGCAATCAGTTTTATAATGGAGGACCTTGCAGACTTCTACAATGATTTTATAATTGTCAGTTGTTAATCTTTTCACTTGAGACTTATTTCTGGATAACACTACAATACTCAACTCTGGTTTCTGCACAGTTTACTACCTTTGCATAGTTATTGGAAATGGAAATGAGCAACAGGACAGATCCATATGAATGCCTTTCTCCAACCATATTTAATTCTTCTCTAAAAATCCTTTCTCCCTTCATGCCTGCTCCTTCGAGAATAAGGAACAGGCCTTTAAAACTTTTACTGTACACTTCTAAGCAACTGAACTTAGTATGATAATTGATATAAGTTTATAGAAAATGCTATTTTTTCAAGATCTCCAGAGTCATATTTGTTAAAGTTGTTAAAGTTGTTAAAATAGAAGAACACATTTTTATTTTTCAGGTAATTAATATCTGGATGGATAGCTTTTGGACTACCATTTTATTATTTTGTAAAGTTTTTCATGAGTGATTTTGGGATATATCAGTCTTATTTATGCTATTCATAACAATTGCATTGCTTCATGTTTTTACAGTTTTAGATACATATTTTTATAATGTATTTTAAGCACTGTTCAGAAAGCTGTACTGACTAGTATTTTTCAGCAGTTATATATTTCTTATTTTTTACAGGCATTCAAAAACCTGTAAAATGTAAAAGTACTGATGAATGAATTTGGGGTTGCCATGGTATTTGTACTATTTATTTATAAAAATATTCATCTGAATGCATTTTAATATTACTGTAATTTTCAGATTAAAAAGTCCATTACAGTTAATACAACATTCAGTAGTTGAAAGGATATTAAACTTGAGTACACCCAGCCTATGGTTGAAAGTAATATTTCATATCCATTTTTAAAAGCACATAATGTAACACATTGGTTAATTTAAATTCAATATATTTTTAAATTTTAAAAAATTAGCAACAAACCATTCAACAATATTTCATACTGTTTATTACAAATATTTCATACAAAATGTAACACTGGCACCAGATTCATGACACCATGGTTTGTAAAGATATATTGCACATGCTAAAAGCATAAAATATACAGACAAAACTACAAAACATTAGATATTGGCTTTTTAAAATGTATGTCACTGCATTACAAACACGGATAGTTGCATTTAATACACACCCAAGATTGTCACCATTTTAAAACATCCTTCTCAATAACACTGACTTAAGGTTTGCTTTGTGTAATAAGAAAATGTATAAATTCCTATACAAATTTAGCATATTAATTTTATGTCAACGCAAATGTTTTTTTTTTAAAAAAACGACAAAGTCATAAAGCTTTGAAACGAAAACATATAGGTATTATATTGCTTCAGTATGACTCAAATGAAGGAAAAACATGTTCACAATAGTAGATATCCAGCATACACAAATATAAAAAGGCACTCTAAAAGTTTCTTACATTAGGAAACTCAGGTGCATTATCAAGTTTCTAAACAGAGAAGACAAGAAATTGAATGTACTCAATTCATAGTTAAATACAAAGGTTTGCTATAATAGTACCAAAACACAACATGGTGCCCTTTTAGTAGTGATACAGATATCCCCTGAGCTAGTTTATCTTAACACTTGAAACAATACAGATCAGCAAGGGGGTAAGTGCCATGCATTGTAACCTGGCAGCTGAAGTTTCACATGAATGGAGAACAAGCTGCTAACAGAGAACCGTAACTATAGAGAAGTGCATGCGTTATTACTCACCTTCTAGATCATGCTTCTCAATCTTTATCAAATCAACACCACGGATGTCAGTAGAATAGAGTGCTTATCTTTTGACAAAAGCTAATCAAACAAATCAAAACAGGCCATAACTGACATTTATTACTATCGTTAAAATACAGTACCTTATCTGCTACTAAACCGTATTGCCATTTAGAGAAGAAAGCGATTGGAATGGAATCCATAGTCCAGTGACACTAACTGCAAATTTCCCATTTTAATTAAGATGGTTTTATTACTCTTTTACATGAAAGTAATACATATAAAAGAGATAGATAAGCATATATTTGGAAAAGATGGCCCTACAAATGAATATAGGTCTATTCAGAAACAAATTATTTTAAGTTCAAAAGATTGTATAGCCGGGGATTTTAGCCATATTGTCTTTTCAAGGCAGTAGGCTGGGATTGTTGATAGGACAGAAACACATAATGTAGTCTAAACTCAGGAACTCAGAACTATATTCTATTATATTTCTATGTAGCTGTGCAGAGAATTTTAGCATAAAGTGTTGAAAAATGTATTTATAGAAGTCACTATCAAATTATTTGGGTGAGAAGATTATTGTACTGTGAATGATTCCAATGCTGTAGAAGATTTCTGTTTGCGTGGTGGATTGTCCTTTGACCTCTGTTCCCCAAATTTACTTTCCCCCTACCCTCCTGATGTTTTGGGGAGGCTGTGGTGGTGTGTGTATGTGTGTATTTATTGGTGACTAGCTTGATATGATCAGCCAAGAAGAAGGAAGAAGAAAATGAGACTTTTTACTCAATTCTACATGGAACATTGGCGTTTTGTTTCAAGTGATGTTTAATAATATTTAGTACTGTTCTAGAGAACTCACTTCAGTTATAAAACATTGCAGTACTAAGAAAGAAAACTTATAGATTTGTAAGTGTAGTTTGATTTCCCTGACTGTTTGGTGATCCTTTTTTTCTTTTTGGTCATTCTGTTTATTTCATGTCTTCCTTCATAGCTATACCATTATAATCAAATGCACTGCTTTTCTTTTTTGGAAAAAAAAAACATAACAGCAAACTATTGTTAATAGATGATAAGTAGGCTCCAGATGACTCACAACTATGAGGGCATCTCCATGCAACCACTGTTGCCATTCTATAAACTCAGAATTATTCGGCATCAACCTGTTATAGTCCTGACCTCAGCTGCTGAAAACCCCACATGAGTTGATTAACTTTCTTTCTAATGGACCAACAGGAAAGTACCAAAAATGACATTCAGATTGTGCCCCACCTCCTCAATTTCCTTCCATGCTTTCCTTTTCTAGAAAAGCAGAAAAAGAGAAAAAATGAGAGTGAAAAAAACATACACAAGAATGTAAGGCCTTATAGCTGGAGCTGCAAAGCCACATTTCTACAACACTAAAACTTGGCAAAAGGACATGATATGATAGTGCTATGGAAGCTTAAGAGTTATGGGAAAATGTGAGGTGAGAGTTCCCACCAACAAGAAAACAGCCTGTCCCCAAGCTCTAATGTAAAAAGTGGAAAATTAGGGAATCCTCTGGGGCTATAGCTGAGTTCTGCTACCTAATAAAAATCATAATGTAAAATTATAGAGTGTGGGTCCAATGCATGAAACCTCTCGGTTCTTCTATATCAGAATTTATTAAAGTGTGGTCTTAGGACCCTTGAGGGGGGGGTGTCCCCTCAAGTCTATAAAATCAAAATTATTTGCCCACCTGGATTGAAAAATAATACAGTATTAAAATCCCATCAACAATCACGAGAAGCAAGAGTGTCAATTTTAATTCTTAATATAGTAAAGATAGATTAAATATAGTCCATTCAGCCAAAAGTTCTTTTGGAGTCTTCCATGATTTTCAAAAGCGAGAAGAGATCCTGAGATTTTTTTTTTTTTTTTTAAAAAAAACACTGTTCTATGCCAAAAGATTTTAACACAGAGAAATTACTCAACATTAGCCTTTTCTTCTTAAAGCACATTTAGAACATACAGTAATCTCTCACTTCCTGAAATGCTGTATAATTGGGCTACTATGCTCTATAAAGTATTCTAATTATTGGTTCATTAATAAAGTTTGTGACTTGTTCAGCCCTGGGTGATATCCAAGTGAAATTTTTGCTGAACAGTCAAGAAAATAAAGTGATCTTTCTACATTTTCCTCATTTCTTTCATTTCCTTTTCTTTAAAAAAAAAATCAACTACCATGTAAAACTACTTTTTATAAATGATTAAGATCTTTCTCCTGGGAAGCATCCATAGATTCACTGCAAAACTTTAATTGTGGGTTTTAAGGAACATCCAGTAGTCCTCAGAATTTAACAAACACCTTAAAATCCACGACAGGATTTAACATCCTCCATATTTAATAGGAATCAAGGCAATAACTACTGAGGGCCCCTATATTATAGTTCCTAGTCATGTACAAATATCATTTAAAAATACATATATGCTAATATTGTAATTTCAAAATGTGAGCATAAATATTGCCTTTTTCTTAAAAACTCGTAATTACCATTTTGTATTTTAGAGGCCCGTAACAATTTATACACACTTGCGTTCTTAAGAAAAATAGTCTCTTTTTATTTTATCCTTGCTACAGAATGCAAATTGTAGGATGAAAAAACTTCTCTAAGATCTGGTTGAAAGTCTATATCATGATGGAGAATTTTGTTAATAATCATGGATCAAATTGAAAAACAACTGGAGAATATTTTATTACCCTAAATCACGGGTGTCAAACCTGCGGCATCACCTTGTTGTCACGTGATGTATCAAGACTCCCCCCCCCTTTGCTAAAATGGGTGGGCATGGCCAGCACATGACGCATCTGGCCCGCGAGCCGTGAGATTGACACCCCTCTCCCTAAATTCAAATAGAGCTTGGGGTAGTAAATGTTCCTAGAATAGAAGTGCCTAACTTTGTGCTTATTTATATTGTGGGAGAAAATTTAATTTCTGATATGTTAATCAGTAGTTGGGACAAAAAAAAATCAGTCATGTGGCAGAAAGATCAATTGATTCATGGGGATATTTCTGATCCTAGTTTTTCTTTTGGTATTTTGCTGGGAATTTTTCCTCTCAATACACTGGCTGGGAGTTTAAAAAAGGAACAACTGAGAGTTTCAGTCAGTGTTAGTGGTACCTTTTCATTAAAGGCATTTTTGTTTGCGAGTGTAACTACAAAATGGCTGAAAACTGAGGAACATTGTCACCTGTCTGAGAATAAAGAGTCCCCTACGAGGATTACATTTTAGATATGTGCAAAGCATTTTGAATTTGTAACACTTCTTCAAATACTGGTACAGCGCCGTACAGAACAGTTTCAGTGAAATCAGCACAATATTGTGCAGAAACAGTTGTTTCAAATTGGAAATGTTTCATAACTTCCATTACAATGCAAGATGTCTGGTTTCTATTTTTTTTTGCAATGTATAGCCCAGAATGAAAATACATTTGACTTAGATAAAGGTGCAGTCTCAAGATGGAAGTTTTTCCCGGCAAATCTTGTTTATAGAAGCAAAGAGAAACTTCGTTACGTTTTACTGATCATCCAAGAATAAATTCACATATTCTGTCTTTAACGTACTTTGACATATAGCAATGAGTGGTTATGTTAAATTATTTCAAATATCTGTGTAGAATAGATAATAAAGCAGCAGATAGTCTACGATCTGTTCTGTTTCAGTTTTTTAAAAAGTATTTTGCTTCCATAAACAAGGAAGGACACATCCCTCTTGATTCCACAATTTAGAACATTGACAAATTTTCACCACCATCCTTTTAAAGACTAAATCACACATTTTTTTTTCCTTTATATGTTTTCCTCTGCTCTGCCAACAAATAGTATGCAATATACGCCTCCACTGCATTTGACAAAATATGCATGAAACTATTCCCAGCTGGCTGCATAAGAGCTGAAAATGATAACTCTGTGCATTTGTTCCATCAAACCCAGCATACTAAATTTGCTTAAATTCATAGCTAGTAACACATTATAGAATTAAGAAGGAGGACAAACCATGGTCAATTTTTTCTGGGCACTTGTTTCATTTCAAATAAATATAAACACATTTAACATTAAAAGTACGAACACTAGCCTGGAAAAATAAACTGTGATCAACACATCATCATCATTGGTTACAAATGTCGAAGTATCTACTAGAAATAACCCAAGACTCTTAATTACAGAAAACACTATTTGTGCATTGTTGATTAGAAAAGTTACTTGATTTTTTTCCCCCCCTCTTGCATTATTAAAAAAATAATAAAGTCTTCTGAAGCCTTTTGGTCCTCGTGGTATAGCTGGTTAGTTCTTTATATTTTAAGAGTCTCACTCTTCTTTCTGTACACCTTTCTCGGGCGAGGAAAAGGGTCCGTTTGACCTAGAAGCTTTGGCAGAAGGAGTAGATATTCATAATGCAAATGTTTAAAAAGTAAATTGATGCCAGCAGGACTGTTTAGTACAGTTCCCTTCTGTATGATTACTTAACTTTTCCACTTCATGTTTTGGTTTTGTCTCCTGTTTGCATCTTAGCACAGCAATGATAAATATGAAGGACTGTAATCTATCTCGTATACTTCCCAAAAAAAGTCAGACAACGCGTATGATAAAAATCACATTACACATAAAGATAACAAAAAGTCAATTCAAATGAGCAGGGTGAAACATTTAGGTGCATTAGGCATTATATTTAGAACTGGTTTTTTCCTAAAACAAATAATTGCTGGACAGCACAGGTAAGACAAGTTCCCAAGGATCCGTACTTGGAGAGTGCAAATAAAGCATGCATGCTTGTGCTGAATGGTAACAAAAATAAGGCAAATCTCATCTGCCTTTACAATAATCTCTTTGCTGCAGCCGCAGGTGGGTATGTTGTGATGAGGCAAACAAGATTTGATCCTAATGATTTTAAATTGCAAATGGAAGCAGCACATACCTATTGTTTTAAAACACCTATTGGGTATTACTGTGATGAATTTAGAAGTCTGGATTGCCACAGAAAATGGTGGTGTTGGCAGTATTTGTTCAAACCCAAATCAAACTATGTGGCTTTACCTTTGGTTTTTATAACAAAAATACCTACAAATGAAGACTATATATCTATACAAGAGATACTCGATATGGGAAGGTCTTCTGACAATCCAGAAGCACCCTACTTGAATAATGACTTTATATCAGCAGTTTAATATAGCTAACATATTAATATAGACATAACAGTTCCCTGTTTACTTGTGCTGTCAAAACAGAAAAAGGCAGCTTCTTTTTTCTGCATATAATAGGAGGTAGAGACTTCCAGAGGAGCCCTTAGAATTTATGGAAAGCACAGCAGTGCTGGAAGCAAAACATTAACTAGAGTGCACTAAAACAAAAAAAACAAAAAAATCCTTAAATTTTCTAAAAGGCTCTATTTAATTGCAAATTTTAGTCTTTGCTGTTCTCAATTCATAAATGAAGGTGAGGTGAAATCCAGGTGTTTCTAAAGAAAATTTCAGATTAAATGCAAATGCAATCAAGGAAGGGGCACTGAATGTTAAAAAGTCAAAAGGTTTCGGAATCGGAATCATTGTCATTGTATCCATTTTCTGCTCCTTCATCATTCATTAAGGTTTTACTATATGAGTCAAGAGGGTTGCTCATATTGGAGCTATTGCAGAGAAGAGTCCTACTCAAGTGGTCTTTTTTAAAAGAAACGAAGTTGAGCGGCGTCATTGTACTGGAAGGAGAAAAAGGCATCATGGTAGCCAAAATGAGTGCCAGGCAGTCAGCCACGTCTTTGTTAGGAGCGCAAGCCAGGGCTGGTGTATGACCTGGGCACAAATGCAGACAAAGCCATGGTTAGTACTAAGGGAACTAGGAAAAGATCTGAGCATTCCATGGATACATCTCCAGATGAACTCACAGCTAGGAGATGTATGTTTAGTCACCATCACAGCAGACAAAGCCAGGGTTACTTTAAAATTAGACATGCTGGGAAGGTACATAATTCACAAGGTGGTTCTCATAACAAGCACTACTTAATAAAAAGCAAAAAGGCAACTTAAATTATCCACAAAATGAAATAAAAACAGGTAAGACCATGGTCCTGGAGGACAATGTGAATCAATACTGAGCCAAGACACTGTTAGACTTAAGTCACAAGATAGAGGTTCATGTAAGAGTTATTCCGAGAGCAATAGCTTTCACTCAAAAGAAACTGTGCGATATTTAAGAAAACAAATTAGTAATATAGATTATTGCATTTTTACAAAAAAAATAATAATCTGATTAGCATTAATGTAGCGGATGATTAATTCTGCAATATTTTAGGTGAGAAAGTTAAATAAATAATCAAAATATTCAATTTAGCTAAATTCAATCATGTTTATTAAAATGTGACAGCCGAGTCTCTCTCTGTAGGACAAGCAATGTGCTCTTTACTATATATTGGATATTAAGATAGGGAAATCTTCTCTCGTAGGGAAAATGAAAAGTAGGTGGCCTCTTAAGAAAATAGTTAGTTCTTTCCTTCTGTTTATATGTTTCTAAAATATCAGGGAAGCTTGTTGGATATTCCATGACAAACAGCATCACAGGAATTGGATGTCAAAACACACACACACACACACACACATACACACACACACAGTCTTTTTTAAAAGCCTCTTCATAAGTTTTGCACTGTGCAATGAGAAGAAGGCTTGATATCTTTCCACATAGAAGAGAAATAAATATTAACAACAACAGGAACAGCAACAATCTATAGAAAAAGACATTGGTATTTTTTTTTCTGCATAGGCAATACTTTCCTTAGTTTAAACACAGTGCAAATGAGACTAGTTTCCCTATTAGGTCATTCCATAGATTCAGAAATTGAAATCAAAAGTTTTCACTTCTGTTCTTGGTTAAATATAGCTTTCTAAAGCAATGTTTAATATTAGTTTAATATTAATATTAATATTAGTTTAATATTAATATTAGTTTAATATTAGTTACTTTTGCTGAAGCAGATGAACTTTTCAGAATTCCTTGTTGCTAGACAGGAAATAGGAAGACTACTCAGTGGTAGGGGGAGAATAGGTTCATTACATTTCACTAACCGAATGAATGAAGACTAAACACAAATGTTATGGGCCAATTATTGTCGATATCCCAATAATTATTGTGGTGCACTAAATGCTAGATTGTCTATTTAAGATATGATATTTTAAAAAATCACAGCTTTTAGCAAACCATCAACGTGCTATGAAAGTGCAAAAGAGATGTTCATAAACTACATATTGGCTAACACCCCTTCCCTGCGAATACACCTACTATTAGTGGATTGCCTTTTATACACACACAAGTAATATGGAAATTGATATGGTACTTCAGTAGTGGGTCGCCAATTTTGTTACTATCGGTTCAGGCGCACTCCCATGTGTGTGTGTGAGACACTTCTGCGCTTGCACAGAAGCATCTAGGTAGGTGGACGAAGCCTCCCACCGCTGCTACTACCAGTTCGGCCGATCCTGGCCGAACCGGCAGCAAACCACCTCTGCTGTACTATTACTAATAATTTATTTAGAATATGGATTTCCATGCAGCATTGTTATTTAATGGATGTTTTCTATCTGCTTTGAAAATAAAGGGAAGCTTCAGAATACTTCTGAAGCCATACAGATGCAATTTCATTTTAATTCAAATACTGTATCTGTATAAATAAATGGCTCAAAACCATTTTCCAAGCAAGAGTAGCGGTTCCACCACAACCGCGGTAGACAAAAGCGCGCTCGTCGAAAGCGCGTACGTGACGTCATCACAGCGCGACGAAAACATCGCGCTGTGAGCGGTAAATGTAAAA